ACATCCGAGCATACAGAGGTATCTACTGAATCTATCTTCAATTTATCATAGACAGCGACATGTGCTTGCGAGAAAATTCTCTTGACCTACATCACGAATCATGTCTTCTATTCGATCTTCCATTGTCATATCCTCCTCTTCCTCGGCTTGTGTTACTATTGGTGTATCAATCACTTCACCATGCCATGTCCATAGGATATAATTCTTCATTATCCCATCACATAAAAGATGTTCCCGTATTGTCTCTAGTGTGTGTACTCTCCCATTAACGCAGTTAACACATGGACAATACAATTTTCCATTAACCTTGGTGCCATTGTGTTCGGCAAATCGCAAAAATTCTTCAACTCCATTCTCATACTCTTGTGAAATACGACTTGCATTTACCCAACTTCGATCCATTTTGGAATTGGAGTCTACAAATGAGAAACCCATAAAACGATTAATACTAATAATCGTTATCTCTAATGAAATCTATACCAAAGTAGATTAATTTGTAACGAAATTTCAACAGAATTTCGTCTATTTTTTGGTCAAAACCAAATTTGTATAAATTGAAATTATAGAGTTTTCATTGTTACTACCATCACTTATATAACTACATTGTTATATGTAGTTTTCAGAATTCACACTTCATGATTAATTTCTAACAAAAATCCGGCAGAGTTTCCTTTGTTTTTTGGCAACAATTTTAAATGACACAGTGAAACCTGACAATAAAAAGTCCCACGGGCATATTCAAGCAGTTCACGTATAATTGTACACATCATCAATACATTGAAAAAAACTATAATATGACTAAGAATTGAATCAACAGTTAACGGCAAATGACTAACAATCTCTACCTATGAAATGTAGTAAGTAAAATTGTATGACTTTGCCCAACAAATATAAGTGCAACAACATCGTACCTGTGGTTTAAGGCAGCGATGAAGGTTCGCACCACAGAGAAACAGAGCAGCGCTGCACTGGGGTGGAGGTGGAGGATGCAATGCGGCGTTAGGGTCGAGGCTGTGGTGAGCGGACAATGCAATGTGGTTGGAGGCTGCAATGCAATGCAATGGGGTGGTGGCGTTAGGATGCAATGCAATGTGGGTGGAGGTTGCTAGCGTCGCGGTGGGCGACTAGCGTCGCGGTGGGCGACTAGCGTCGCGGTGGGGTGGAAGCTGCAGTGGGGTGGAGGTGCTGCGGCGGGGGTGTCACGCGGTGCGCGGTGGCGACGTGAGGGAGGGCGTCCGGAGAGTCCAAATCACGGTGGTAGGTGGTGGTCGCGATGCTGGAGAGTAAGGGGAGTGGGCGCGATGTTGGAGAGTAAGGGGAGATACAAAAATGGTAGCCTATAAATGGGAAAACGGGGTTTCGACGTCAGTTATACCCACACCCGACGTTGAAACTCGTTTTATCTCAGTCATATATTTCAATCAATTGAAACGAGATTTAATCGATTAAAATAGTTCTGATCGGTCATAACTGGATTCTGATCGATCATCCTGACCCTGTAAGAGATTTTAATCGATTGAAACGTGTTTTTAATCGATTGAAAAACTTCTGATCTGATCGCTCATAATTAAAATTTGATCGATCACATTTGATTCTGATCGGTCATATTTGTAATCTGATCGGTCATAATGAGTTCAGAAGGGTTTTCAACATCGGGTTAGGGCATAACCGACGTTGAAAGCCTACTTGACGTAGAATCCTGACACTTTAAGAGATTTTAATCGATTGAAACGTGTTTTTAATCGATTGAAAAACTTCTGATCGCTCATAATTAAAATCTGATCGATCACATTTGATTCTGATCGGTCATATTTGTATTCGATCGGTCATAATGAGTTCGAAGGGTTTTCAACGTCGGGTTAGGGTATAACCGAGCGTTGAAAGCCTACTTTCCACGTCGTGCATGCTAAAACGACGTAGAATGTGTCAAAATTCGACTTTCGACGTCGGTTTTTGACCAACCGACGTTGAAAGCATGTTCAACGTCGGCTAAGATGTAACCGACGTTAAACGGCGACGTTGAAAGCATATTTTCTAGTAGTGTTTAGATCTAAGTATATCTTAGTATCTTTTGAGTAAGTTTTTCTTTTCCTAAATTTAAAGCATTTTTATATATTGAGAGTTAGGATTACATGTAGGTTTTGAGGGCTTACATGTACACTTTGTTAGAAAAAAATAAATTTTGACTAGTTTAAAAGTATTGTAATATGTTTAATTAGTTAATTATATTTTGTTTTTACTAAGATCTATCTTCCTGGTAATTTAGGAGTTTTAAGAGTTTTCTAACTTGTAGACACTATAATTGATATAAGAAAAACTAGTTATTCTTCATTTTTTTTTCCTAATATTATAGGTTAGAAGATCTGGATTGTGAATGTTATTTGATCACATTGCTTGAATGGTAAGGAATTGAATTGTGTGATTGAAGGTGTGCTAGTTTACGATGATTGAAATTGAACATTGAATGTGAATACATAATTGATTTTGTGAGATTAAAAATGATAATCTTTTGTATGAATGTATTTTACTTATATTGGATTTGAGAAATTGATTTGCAATTCGAAGGGTAGTTTTTAAATTTAATTTGATTTGAAACATTTAGGAGTTAGTTGAACAAATTATATAATCTGATACTGTCACAAATTCGTATAGTCTAATAGATTTAAGATAGTATTAAAAATAGTTAAATTTCGCTCAATGCTTTTAAATTTGTCTGGCGAATTAAATTCAATGTTTAAGACTTAATCTTGTGAAAATTTTGCTTGAACGGAATTTTGATAGAGATGAATACTAAAAGTGTCTGCATAATTCGTCTAATCATTCAAATTATGTTTAGCGAAATTTAAATTTTCTTAATCATTTTCAAAAAAAAAGTTATAAACTCCAAATTAAGTGCTCCGAATATGAAAATTAAAGACCTCAAAATGAGGAATCCAATAAAATAAGAATTAGCTAAAAAAATCTCTATATAGAAAATTATGGGAAAAATAACGAGATATAGGTCAAATTAGAAAAAAAAAACATTTGTTTGTAAACTTGAGAAATTATATATATATATATATATATATATATATATATATATATATATATATATATATATATATATATGACCTAAAATGCTAGAATATGTGTTATGAACATGAAAAGATGTGTTCAAATGTTATTATGTGTCTTGAAAAATATTATGTTATAATATGAGAATTACCAATAAATATTCTCCATTATTTGATAAAGTGTATATAGATATTGATTTGCGATGCAAGGAGATATTTTGACTATATTGAAAAAAAAATTGTATCTTGATAAATCATTTAAAAATTTACCTTAATCACATATGATTATTATATATACCAAATTAAGTACTCTTGTAAATACTTTGAGATGTGCGGTATAACAATTATACATCTCTAATCTATAATTCAATATTTTATCTTTTGAAAGTCATCTGATATTTATGTCACATAAGTATAATTCCACATAGAGACATAAAAATTTATATTTGAATTACGTGTCCACACAAAAAGAAGTTTAAAACTAAAAATAATATAAATTTTTATTTTATTTAAGATTTAAGTTTTAAAATAATATATATATATATATATATATATATATATATATATATATATATATATTAAAAAAACTTATAACTACTTTAAGTATTTTAATAATGCATTTTTTGGATTGTTACACTGAAAAAAAATTAAATTTATAATTAATTCATAGTCAAATTATAAAATATAAAGAGAAAGACTAGAAAATCTTAAAAGAAATTATACTTGACTATTTTGTTTTAAAATAAAAACAATAATAATCATCTCTGCAAGCAAAATTATAAAAAAAAATACATTTATGTAAAAAAAATTATCTTTACACCACCACCACTACTACTACTACTAATAATAATAATAATAATAATAATAATAATAATAATAATAATAATAATAACTTACTTACACTTACATATTATTATTTGCTGCATATATAGTATTAATAAATAGATTCAAGTGCAAAAAACAATGTAAAAGAAAGAAGATAAATAAATATTAAGTATATAGTGAATGGAAATTATTATAAACAAAAATACTATTTTAATGTGAATTTTCTAATTGTTTTATTTTCTTTAATATTTATACCTTTAAAAATAACCATGTAAAATTTATATTAAAATAACATAAAGAAAGAAGAACATAAAATTTTATGTATTATGGTGCGAAAGAAAAAATTTGATAGGTATTAACTAGATATATGTAAAATATGTAAAATACAAAATATCTACACATAATAAATAAATATAAGTAAAAGAAGACTGAGAACATTCCATTAATACAACTTCTGGAAGAAAATAGCAATTTTAACCCTGTTGGGAATGACGTGTCATGGGTGTACGAGAAGCGTGTTAGTGTTAGTGTCACCTTGTCGGTAGTAAAAGACTCATCATTTACAGAAAAAGAAATTTAAAATATTAATATTACAAATTATTATTATAATAATAAACCAGATTATTAGATAGTAATTTAATAAAAAATGAGTATAGATTTTTTTTTCCGTAGCAAAAGAATCTGATCGTATTTAAATAAAAATTATGTCAAATGATATATAGTTAGATAAAAAATATATATATATATATATATATATATATATTATAGAAATATGACATAATGAGAAGAAAGATAAAAAAATATAAATATTATTTAGATATTTAAAAGGACAATCATTTATATTTAACTTTTTAAAATATTTTATTAAATTGATTTTTTTCTTTTTATTTCTCTTTTTATTACATTATAATTATTATAATATATTTTTCATTTTATTTTTATTTATTTTAAGGTATCATTTGAGTGTTTTTTAATTCTAATTGTGGATGTATCATTTCTATATTTAAAAAGAAAGATAGTTTATAACTCATCACTCAGTATATAATAAGACGATGAACCCAGATCCAATCCACTGTCTCACTCTCAGCGGAGATAACATTACACTCTTCAATTCCAAAATCAATGGAACATCCACCCAGATTTGTAATCGAGCCATCGGAAGCCCTGGCCATGGCGGACTCCGCCGCCGTCACCGTTCCAGAGCTCCTCCCCAAACTGGTCCCCGCCGCCCAGCCCCTTGCCCGGCCCCCCATCTCAAACTTCCAAGTGGCCGCCGTGGGCCTGGGCCCCTCGGGGCGCATCTTCGTGGGCGTCAACCTGGAATTCCCGGGCCTCCCCCTCCACCACGCGGTCCACGCGGAGCAGTTCCTCATCACCAACCTTTCCCTCAATGCGGAGCCCAGCCTGGCCTCCTTCGCCGTCTCCGCCGCCCCCTGCGGCCATTGCCGGCAGTTCCTCCAAGAACTCCGCGGTGCCCCCGACATCAATATCCTGGTGACCTCCCACCCGACGCCGCAATTCAATCCTCTCTCTCACTTCCTCCCTCACCAATTCGGTCCCCACGACCTCCTCTCCCTTCGCGCTCCCCTTCTCTTGGAACCCCGCCACAACGCCTTAACCCTTAACTCCGACAACCTTAACAACATCAACAACCACGCCGCCATCTGCAACGGCCACGTCGACAGCCACAAGCTCAAAATTGCGGCTCTCGAGGCCGCCAACAAATCCCATGCACCCTACAGTGGCTCCCCCTCTGGCGTCGCCCTCCTCGACCGCCATGGCAATCTTTACAAAGGCTCTTACTTGGAATCCGCCGCCTTTAATCCCAGCTTGGGTCCTGTCCAGGCCGCACTCATCGCCTTCGTCGCCGCGGGCGGCGGCGACTACCACCAGATTGTCGACGCCATCTTGGTCGAGAAGGAAGACGCCATCGTTAAACAGGAGCACACGGCCAGGTTGTTGCTTGGCACCATTTCTCCAGATTGCAACTTCAGCACATTCCTTTGCCAATGTCAGCCTTCGCCACCCTAATCTCGAACTTGATGAACGTGTGGAACTGCAACGATGATAAGAAATGAATAATGACAGTAATAATGGTGAATAATTTGTTTCATTACATATTGTGGTTTTAATGTTTAATGGCCAGTACTATAATGAAACAGTTTAATAACGAGTTTAATGTTTTACATGTTTAATAAATGTGGAAGCGTGTTTTGATAAAACTTGGATATATTTATTTATTTATTCATTGTTTAGGTTGAATTTGGATGTTAAAATGGATCGGCTTCACATGATTCTTGATCTTTTTAATACGTGTGTGTGTGTGTGTGTTTGGAAACAAAACAAGTTTCTAAATCTAAACACACTTAACAAGAGGAGTTTAGCTTCATCCATGTTTTTTCCTTTGAATCTACATGTGAGCCATGCATGTGCGGATATGTAATAATAATACAATAGCATATATCTAATGCCAAAGTTTTATTTTAGTTTATGTAGTTTCTGTCGTGTTAGATTATTTTAAGTTGCAATTTTTGTTTTAATAATAAACTTTTGTAAGATTCAAATTTATATAATTTTTTATCATTTAAAAATTATTCTAGTTAGGATAATCAAATATATATTTTTTATTCTTAAGATTCACATCTTATATAAAATTCTTATCTTAAATTTAACTTTTTTTTATCATGTTAAATCAACATGTTTCAATAGTTTGAACAATTTTTTATAAATTTATATTTTAAATTTAAGATTATGAATTAAAGATCCTCAAATATTTATAATTATGCTGTCTTTTAAACCGTGGATATTTCCATTTTTATATTCCGCTCCACCCAGACACAGTTTCCAAGCGCGCCTCTGACCCTTCTTTGCTCTTGGCAATACATGAAAAATATTTATTTCGTACTTAATAATCCCGAGCTTTCCTGATTTTAAATAAAAAAAAATTAAGATAAGAATAATATAAAAAATATAATAAATTTATTAAAAAATAATTATCTTAATTTAAAACGGAGCGAATAATTTTATAAAATAGTTAATTTAATTAATAACATTAAATTACATTTTTTAATTATTTTTAATATTAACACTCTTTTCTCTTTTTAATTATTTGAACATAATATCTCTATTTTGATTAAGAATACTTTAATCTAAAATTAAATAATTTAAGACAATATAAATGATAAAAATAATCATAAAATTTTAATTTAGGGGAAAAGTACAAAATATTCTTGGTTCGAGGTCAGGTGGTAGATAAGTTGCGCAGCACCAAACTCTGATGTGCTATTACAACAACTTTATGACAAATTGGCGAAGCAATCTTTTTCAGTTTAAGAAAAAAATAGATGTTACGAAATATTTTATTATTACATCAAATTAGCACTAATTATTTTTATATTCTAAAATATAATAGTACTTTAATAATATATGATTTCACTCTTCAAAGGATTACGACAAAAGAAGAGAAAAAAATTACTCTAGCTTACTCTTAATTGAATGATATATCATATATAAACGTAGTATTTGATATGAGTGTGCGATCCAGTGTGAAAAGCATGCATGGTGTTGTGAGAAGAAAACCTCATCAATCATAGACTGAATAATTTGGTAGAAGTTCCCATAGTCCATAGCATCAAAAGCCATCTTTCTTTTTTGCCAAAAACCATTCTTAGTGCAGAAGCTATTATAAAATGTTTATTTATGGGCCTCCTATGATAGCATAATTTAGGTAAAAAGTAATGTAGAAAAGTTGAGTTTATCTGATACGTTCATATAGTTCTTAGCAGGGGCAATTTCATCGAATAGCCCCCACTCATAAACTAAAAAAGAAGGATAAAAAGAAAGAGTAAAGAACCCCCCCATTTTAATTTGATGAAAGTGTAAGGTTGTTATCATCATTCACAGTCACAACAGCACTTTCCCTGATCCTACTCATCTAAGCACAACTTACTTTGTAAAGAACATTGCTGGCTTATCAAACAGGACTAGGTGCTCTGCATCCAAGTTGAATGGTGGGGCAGATGAATCGACTGAATTATTATCACTTGAAACTACTTTTGGTAGCTGCAATCAGCACCATATGATGCTGAACTTGCTCTTGAATGGCTGAAAGCTCTTGCTTCTTTTACATGTGTGGACAAAGGGTAAGACAGTTTCAATTAGGATGCAACTGATAGTGTGAGGAAATGATGGGGTTCTTCAAAATTGCAAAATGCTTGGATTCACAGCCAAGGTACTTGCGTTCTTTTTTTACCGCCACAAGGTAAATGGTAAGAAAGTATGAACAAAATAATAAGAATATCATACACTATATCCAAAAGGGAAGTAAAAAGAAATGTGAAATGAAGTGATCCATGATTGTGAATGCAGAGGAGATGATATTTTGTTGTTATGTGAATCACAGAGACACTGTCTCCATGATTACAGCATGGACCAACACAATCATTAGCGCAATGTCTTCTCTGGACCAGTCGCATTATGTACAGTATTATGTTATATATATACATTACTTGGTAAAAACAAAATAATTTTTTCTATATCTCCATCATATATATATATATATTCTAGATTGAATAACTTAAAACTCATCCGTGAATTGTGTTTTTTGAATTATGAATTGTTAAATTCGAAATATATTTTTAGGAAATACAATTTAAAAATATGTTCTAAAAAATACAATAAAAAAATTATTTTTGAATTTTTTTATAAATATATTCTGACATTTTTTTTTAAATTTCCAAAAATATTTCACATAATTTTTTAAAATATAATTTGAAAATATATTCTAAAAAATACAATCTAAAATGAATTTTTCAGAATATATTTTTATCAAAGATAATACTATTATTTTAGATAAATATAAGAGAAAAAAAACCAAAGAAGTACAAGAAGAAACGCTAGACAAACCAATGGTGTTCAGCCCATTACTCATACTTATAGTACGGAGTTCAGCCCAGTAATTCACACACTTTATTTAACAAAACTTATGTTAAATTCACTATTAAATATTTAATTTAAACATTTAAATTTAATTTTGACTAAAATAGATTTTTGTTCATATAAGATACCTGATACGTTAAAATAACATTTATAAAATTTTTCATGTCAGTTTAATCTATTAAATATGAAGTTTTTTTATGTGATATGAAATGAAAATATAAAATTATACCTTTGTCATCTCTACTCTTTTCGAGTTAAAACAAATTTAGAACAAAAATCATATTTAGATTTCACATAAATTTATATAGAATATTTTAATAAATAAGACATTTTATAATAAAAGCATTTTGCTTAAACAAAATTTTAAACGGATTGTGATATTCATGTCACCTTAACTAATTTTTAACAGAGTTAAAAAATTATATATAAAAAAATCATGTTTATGTTTTATATAAAATGAATTAATATGTTTTTTATAAGAGCTATTTTAATATATTATGCATTACAACAACCCAAAACATATTTTATCTTTTAATTTTATCATCATCCCTTAATCTCTATATTTAAAATTTGAACAAGGGGTCAGTTTTCACAAGTGACTGAGAGAAGCAACATGGATCAATACAAGCCGTGGCGGACCAATATATAAATTAGGGTGTTAAGTTGTATGTTATTTTTCTAAATTTATAATTAAATATATTATTAAATTTTCATTTTTTGTATTTTTTAAATTTATAAATTAATATTAACTTTTAAATAATTTGAGTATAATGGTGGGATTAATTTTAATCCTTAGATAGTTTTGAATTGGACTTTATGGTGAGTTGGAACTTAATCCTTAAACAGTATCAAGTGAGACTCCACCTGAAGCAATGCGTTGGCTCTACTCTATTTTTGGTTGGGACAAAAAAAATTTAATCTGATTTGGAAACGTTGATGAGTTAGGTGAATTGGACCTATTTAAATGTATTTTTTAAACTATTTTTTATTTTTCATAATTATTAAAATAGATAAATTAGGTAGATTATCTTATTAATATAAATGGATTAGGTGTTAACTCCCTACTTCATGATTTTATACTTAAAATATTAAATATTGAAAAAAAAAAAACAAATCAACTCATCACTTACACCTTAATCTGTATAATCTACGAGTTAAATAGGCTAAACTTGTTTTAATCCACTATTAAAATTTTAAAATTTTTTAATCCAACCCATATGAATTTAAGAAAAAGATATTTTAAAAAAAATTATTTAAATAAAATTTATATGAATTTATCTCCCAAAATAAACCTCATTCTTCGTTTGCAATTTTTCTTCTCTCTTCAATTTTTTTTTCATTCCCTCATTATTTTTTTCTTTTCTATCTTATGTCTCTTATTTCACCTTCCTCTCTCACCTGTTCTCCTAATTAAATTACTATATTAAAATTTAATAATAATATATTAAAAACAAATATTAAAAAAAAACATTAAACTAAAAAAATATTAATTCATTATTTAAAATTATGATAATAATAAATAATTTTATTTATGATAATGAAAATAATTAATTTAAAATTATTTTATCATAATAAATAATTACCCATCTAATTAAAAAAATCAAATATTTATAAGTTAAATATATTTGATATTTAATAATTTAATCTAGTTATAATTAGGTTAAATTAAAATAATTAATTAGATTAGGTAATTTAAAAAAATATTTATTAAAAAATACTTTAAAATAAATATTTAATTTTTTCTTAATAATTATAACATGATAATAATATTTGCAGTGTCTCAAATTTATCATATAATATTTTTTTCAAATATAATATATTAAATTATAATATTTATATATCATTTAAATATTTTTATTTTCAGTAATAAATGTTATAAAATTTTAATATATTAATTTTAAATAAACGTAATTTTTTTTATTAAATAATATTTTTAAAATATATTATTTATAATATTGATTTATTCATCCTTGGGGTTGAAACTCAAGACCTTCCTTTGAAGGCGAGGAAGGACTAAATATTTGAAGAAAACAAGTGGGATATTTAGTTCATTATCAACATTACAACTAACCGTGTACAGAGAGATCCAACCTATAAGAGAGTATTGCTATGAGAAATTTCAGAAATATTGAAAAATATTATAAAAAAATAAATTTTCTTATTTAATATATTTAGTAGTTTGTTTTAATATTTATAGAAATAACTATTATCAGTTAAAATGTTATTATTAGTGAATAGCATCTTCAACTAATAATACTGTAAACAATAAGTACAGGAACGAAGCATACAAGAGCAACATTATATAATAAAAGATACTATTGAAACACAATGAATTACAATATGAACAAAAACAAGCACCTGTGACATTTTACTTGACTGTATAAGTTCGAATGGCAATTGAGGAACGATGCATGAGGAAGGTGCTGTTTTCTACTATGTTCCCTGCATTTAAGTTCAACTTCGCTTATAATAATGACTGAGGCTAAGGCTTTAGTTAGTAGGTAATAATTCAACCTGCACATATGAAAACTGAGAAATTAAAACAATTGAAAGATGGAAACAGTTTAGTGTTCAAATCCATGGATCATTGTTCTGTGATTAGAGATCCTAATGAGGATCTCAATATATCTCAAGTACATTTAAATCCTGTGATCGTATATTACTTAACAGACCTAAAATAACACACTGTTAAAGCTAAGCTTTCCCTCTTCTTGTGCTGCTCATAACAGATTGGAACCAAATAGTTGGAAATACCTTTATTACAAAGGCACATGATACCTATTCTTTTTGAGTATGTTCATATTTCTGATCTGAGCATCACGGCTTGAGAGCGTATTGTCTTTCATGAAGCTTAGGATCAAATATTTTACTCACTTAGTGTGCCACATCTGCAATGCTGCTCACCACCAAAAAATCCATTAGTCTTATGCAGCAGATAAAAGAACAGACTCTGCAAATAAGGCAGAGCCATTATTAGGTGCTCCCTTTATCTTGAGAATAGAAGTAACCAAATTATAAATCTCAACATTCTCAAACGATGGTATCTTCTTCCCTCTAGCAAACTGAGGACCATGTCCAATGAAAATAGTCCTCATGGAGAAAACTGCATTATCATAACCATGCGAACCCCCACACTCTTGGCGCTTCGTTCTCTTCTGCTCAACCTTGAAACCTTCCTCAATCAACCCAATTATCGGCGCAATCCGATCACTCGCTGCATAATGAAGCCTACTTGGCAGATCCTCCTTCAAATACACCCTCAAAAACTCCCCATTATCAACTTTCCCCGAGCTCAACCCCTCATTCATCTTGGCAACAACATCCGATGCGTCATGACCAGAAGGAGGACGAATTGCAAGCACAGGAGTATGTGTCACAACCCAATCTTTCTGAACATCAATCCAAGGAGCCAAATCATCAAGGAAAATCAACTTCTTATCACATGTACCAACCATTCCATGATCACCAACCATAATAACAGTAACATCCTCAAAAACCCCTCTTTGCTCCAAACCCCTAATCAACCTCCCCATCATGTTATCAATCCTAGCAACAGCCTTAGTGATCTCAGGATCATCAGCACCAACCTTATGACCCTGATGATCAGGGTCCTCAAAATAAAGCGTCATGAAATCAGGAATCTCATCACTAGGCAAATCAAAATAACCCAAAACCGTATCAACTCTCTCCTCAAACGAAATAGAAGCATTATACTGGCTACAATAATTCAAAGAGCAAGTCCAAAGACCCTTTTTTACCTCAGAACCAGGCCAGAAATAAGTGGCAGCCTTTAATCCATTGTTGACCACAGTTTCCCACAAGGGTTCCCCAAGCCACCACTTGGGGTCATGGCTTCCCATGTAAAACGCTTCCCCAGAAAGTGGATCGGTGAAATGGTTATTGATTATGCCGTGGTAAGCAGGGTAGAGGCCAGTGGCAATGGAATAATGGTTGGGGAAAGTAAGAGAGGGAAAAACCGGAATCAAACCAGCTTCTGCTTCGGTTCCATTAGCGATCAAACGGTAAATGTGGGGTGTGGGGGCTTTGAATTGGTAACCGAATCGAAACCCATCTGAGGAGACTAAAAGAACAACGGGGCGTTGGAGTTTGGAGAGAGGGCGAGCGAGGAGAGAAGGGGTGTGGGAGGTGGAAGAGACCGGTGGTGTTGGTGGTTTCGAAAAGTAGAGAAAGGCGAAGGCGAAGGATGTTGATAAGGCAATGCAAGTGGTGAGGATGAGAGTGAAGAAGAGGGCTTTATGGGAAGAGGAAGATGGAGATGAAGAAGAAGAAGAAGAGTCGGAAGAATCTGTGCTGAAAGAGAGAAGAGCTTTGGATGAAGGTGAGTCATGGTCGTCTTGGTCGTGGGTTGGGAGTGGTGTGGGCTTTGCGGAAGTCAATGCAGACAAGGGATTGGAACCCATGTTTGATGTTGGTGTTTCTAGTAATGTTACTGGTTCTTCCGAGGTTATGGAACCTCGCAAGAGAAAGAGAAAGTGAAGAAAGTGGTTTAGGTAGAAGAAAAAGAGAAAGAGGGTTGAGTGAAATCCAATTCAAGGGTTGAGTTGAATTTGCATTTGCAGGTTGGAGAAGGATCGGTGTCAGAGACAATGTTTAAGGTGATTGGTGGACTCGTTTGGAACATGCGGAATAACCAAGTTAAGACCACATAATGATTAATATAGATAAAAAAGAAAAGAAAAGAGAGTAATACTATTGAATTAAATTATTTAATTCTCCAATTTTCATAAAATAATTTATAATATTTCCTATTTGCGGAATTAAAAAATAATTAATTCAAAAGTAAATTAGAAGAATAATCTTATACAAGAAGTACAGAATTTAAAACAACATTTCAAGATTAAAATTTAGAAAATAATATTTTAAAATTTTTGTTGTTACAGACAATGCAAAATATAACCGAGACTGTGTTAATCATAAATAGTTTAAGAGTCTTCCCAGTGTGAATTGAGTTAATAATACGAGATTGATAATAAAAAATTAAGAACAACGTTTAGAGCTCTAAAAAGTATATTTAACTTTAAAATAAATTTTAATTTTTAAATACCAATATATATATATATATATATATATATATATAATAAAATATTATTTCTTAAAAAATTATACTTATTTAAAAAAGAATTACACGTGAATCCAATCTAAATTCATTTTGAATTTTTGACAGCATATTACTTTTCAGCTTGACTTAATTCGATTTGATGATTAATTAAACTGGCGCATTTAAACATAGGTGTACCAAAAAAAGTCAAGGACAATTAATTAAAAGACTAAATGCCTTGAATACCTCTTTTATTGTAAAATTTTATTTTATTAAGTCTTATTTATAATTTTATATTTTTTAACAAATTTTAGTTAACGCTTCTAGTATGAAACATAAAGCAATGAAATTGTTTTATATATTTAAGATTAACAACATCTCCTCATAACATAGAGTAATTAACTCGTTGTTTAATTATATAAAATAAAAATTATTAAAAAATATATAATTTACCAGGATTCAATGGAATTATTTTTTAAAAGTATTTTATTAAATTATCATGTCCCATAATATTAAAAAGGTAATTTATCATTACTTGACGATTAAAAAAAGGTATTGAAATATATATTAGGCGAGTTTATTAGTGTGGATCCCTTGCGTGAAGTTGAAGGGATTTTGAACTATCTCTCGTATAATTTTGATTTAAATAGCACGCAGGCTACAAGAAAGTGATTTTGTCACCATGTAATTGTTGCAACATACGAAGAAATCTGATGGTAGAATTCCATTGGATATATATTTTGTACACCAAACAAAGTGATTATTTTTTCTTTTGATTTTTTTTTTATTTTCTTAACACAGCAACTTGTTATTGTATACACACACACACACACACACACATATATATATATATATATATATATATATATGTATATATATATATATATGTATATATAAGGAAGAAAATAAGAACCAAGGCCAAAAACTGAATTTATGAAAAAGCATTGGAGTTTGATTAAATTAAACTGGGGATAACAACAAAACCATGGAAATTTAAATATGAAAGGAATCCAAGGCCAATAATAAAAAAAATGAAACTACATTAATTAGTGTAGCTAGGGTTTGTGTAAGACTCTTCCAGCAAGCAGAGCAGCTTCCATGACAACATTGATGACTTCAATTACATCATCCACATCACATTGGTTTCCCTGGAATGTGGCAGCTCTTGATTTCTTAAACTTTTCCATGCAATTCATGAATGTTTCGCTGCACTCTTGGCTCAGGTAGTCGTCTGCATAACACCATCATTCATTTCCTACTTACTTTCATATATAAATAAAGGTTTAATTTTTTTTTTTTTTAATATGTAAGTCAATGTTACATTTACCACACAACATGATACATTATTAGTATATAAAAACAACAAGTTAATGTCTTACATATAAGTATCATCACGTCCAATATGAGGTTAAGCATTTTAATGGTATTAATGAAAGAGAATATATTAACTGAGTCTGAAACTTGAATACTGTTGGAAGAAAAAAATAGTAACAACAAGAGGATTATTAAACCAAATTTGTTTTTGCTTTTAAATCCCCGTTTTTCTTTTAGGTCAATTATATTATGTATGACTTTTTTTTTCATACATAGGATCAAGATTTTCTTTTAAAGTTACTTGAGATGCTTAAATCCTAATAAATGGTTTAATTGTTTTTATTTCATCAAACAATTTAATAATAAAAAAACAAATGAAAATAAATAAAGGGAGAATAAAAGAGAATGAGTTTTTTAAAATTTATTAAAAAATTTCTAATAAAATAAAATAATACTTCTTTATAAAAATGATGTAACGTTATAAATTTTTATTTTAAATTTTTTAAGGTAAAAAAATAGTTCATGTGTGAGTTGAGATGATCTTATAAAATTAATTAAAAAATGGTTTAGTTAGCTTGAGTTTGGTAAAATACAATTAATGCGCATTCCAAAATAGGATGAGAAAATAGATAAAAGAAAAGGAAAATAAAGAGAAGAATAATCATAAATGTGATAATAAAAAAATGAGAAATTCCGGTGAGTCTTTATGAATTTGAAGGCTTAAAAAAAAAAAAACCGTAGACCTAGGAAGAGATTCAACAAAACATTCTTTAATAAGCAATTTTAAATTCTTTGTGAATGACTGAAAAATAGAGAAAATTAATTGAAGAATCACGAGAGAAAGTGAATAGGCCCAGATGACTTCCTTTGCTCCTAAGTCAGAACTGTATATTTGTCCATTTTTGAATCACTGATCCTCAATATCCAACTAAACCATTCATCTAAGCCAAGAGTTTAAATTGTGTATTTTTTACACAGAAAATGATAAAACATATCCATCTTAAACAAATTTAAGGGATAAATAAATTGTTGTCTTAGATGGATGCGTAATATATAAACTAAACTCCTAAAAATAATTACTGGAAGTACCAAATTGAACAAATAGCTTATAGCCTCAAAAATAATATGATATGTAATAATATAACTATTCAATCAAATCAAGAATCCAAACCAATGTCCATAGCATTAAATGTTCGAAGGAAGAAATGAAGGAAGTAAAGAACTCACTGTTTTTGGCTTGGACACATTTATCATGATACATACAACAAGCATCAAGGCCATCACAAGGTCTCTCCCCAGGGCACCCACTATAGAGAAGTCCACAATACTTGCCATATCTCAGTAACGGAGGCACTGTCATTACAACATTACATTGTTGGAACTTTTTTCTTTGTCCCAGAGACATTATAACAATTTAAAACGTTAATGTTTCAGGTTCTAATAAAGAAAAAAAAAAAGTTTAGTAGTAGTACCTGAACAGAAACTTGACTCACATGTTGTGCTACACTCTTTGCTCTGCACATGAAGGGAAACGAAAAGACCAAATAAGGGAGAGAAGAAATAGACAGTGTTGTTAAGTTAATGGAGCGTTTGGAATTGAAATGATGAAGCAAGAAGCGAACCACAGAGACAGTGATTCCAGTGGTTTCAACTCCTATGTTGAGGGAAGAAACGAGAATGGTTAAGAAGTTGAGTAAAAAGGTGCAAGAAAAGAAGAGGAGGGTATACTTGGATAACTGAGATGGAGCCATTTTTGTGGAAAGGCAATGGAACGATGTTATGTAAGAGAAAAGTGAGTTTAGATTAATGAAAGTTTTTGAAGGGTGGTTTTGTTTTGGTTGAAGGCTCTGACTTATATGAGAAGCAACAGTGACAAGTGAGTGAGGGAGAAAACTCAGAAATCTGCAAAGAACTCAGATGAAAGATGGGGGTTTGTTTTGTAGCAGCACGTGACTGTGATTTCATCATTATTTCAAGTACTCTCTTTTACTTTTTTTTTTTGGCCCCGTTCTTGCTATAATTAGTTTTTATTTTCCTGCGGAAGTTATGTCATTCTCTGCCTTAACTTTTTAATCTTTATAAAAATAGTTTTATAAGCATCTTATGAATAGCAGGGAAAACGAAGCACTTTATTTTTTGAAAAATAAAATAAAGAATTAAATAATAATGAATGTTTTTATGGAGTGGTCATAGGTAAAATAGTGGAAGGGTGATGCAGACATCAAGGCGTTCACACTGATCAGAAGGATCGGGAATCCATGGAGGTGGGGATGAAGATAATGGTGTGTGTTGATATCTGAGGTCCATTCTCAAGTCTAATTATGTGTTGCTCAAACATTCAGACATGTTAGATATGTTTTTAATTTTCTTTTATTTGCTTTTTTAGTAGCAATGAATAAAATCATTATAATCTTATTTGATTTTTCTGAAACGTGACCTATCCTATTAACTAGTTTTTTATTTATTCACGTAATAATCAAACCGATTTATCAATTTTTATATATAGTCATAAATTTTATAATATTTTTATCAAAATTTTAAAATTAGGTCATTTTATTATTTTCTGTTTTGTTTTAAATTAAGTTGTACTTTTATCTCTCGGAATACTTTTTTTTTCATGTTAAAATCTAAATATTTTGTTTTCCATATTTTTATTTTTTTGGGTCTTATATTTGTAATTTAAATTTAAAGAAAAAGCTATAGATATCAAAATAAAAAAAAGGAAAAATCATAGCAATCAAAATCGACGAAGACAAAAGGAAAAACAACTGAAATTTAGAAGACCAACATAAAAATAACCTTATATAACAATAACTAAATAACTATTTAAGCTACATTTATGAAAATTAGCATTTCAATTACCAAGATATCTTCAGTTTAGCATTGATAAAAACATCTTCAACTTGTACTAGGATGTTTACAAGTTAATCTCATGTAAGTTATTTTCATTTTAGTCTTAACTAGAATGTATTTAATTCAACTTTGACTAGATTATTTTCAATTTAATTTTAATCAGACTAATTTTAACTTAACTCTTAATTTGATCTTAGTTCAATTATTTTTAGTTCAAATTCAACTAAAATTTATTAAAGTCATCCTTAACCATGACATCCTAAATTAAAACATTTGTACTTGAATCTCGAATAAAACTTAGCTTATCCTTAATCATGACATCTAAATTCGATCTAACACAACATTTTCAATTCAAAATTACCGAAAGCATCTTTAGAGAGTTTTTTTTTTTTTCTGTCTTTATGTGAGTCTTTCAATTTTTAATTGTAAAATTTGTTTTTTCACATAAACTTCACTATATGTAAATGGATCTAATTAAACAAATTTAATCATTCGAAAAAAAATGGTTCAAAATAATGTTCCAGAATTGAAAAACATTTCTATATTGAAAAGGCCATGCTGAACTATACTTTAAAAAATTGAATATCAAAATAAATGTTCTGAAAGATAAAAAGACAAAAATATTTTCAAAATAAAATATAAAACCTAAAGTATAACTTAACCTATAAAAAATACAAAATTATTAAAATCAATTATATTAATTGACTTTATAAGCTAAGAGGAACAAATAATTTTTCAAAAGTTTTAAAACTGTATATTATTAAATTTTTGTTACAGCTCAACAGATAAATTATATATATAATCCCAATATTTTTCCAAAATAAAATAATAACTATCCAACATATCACTATAAAATATTAAACTCTTAATTATATTTTTATTATTTTTTATTCCAATAAACTTTAAAACCGATTATTTAATTTTAGTCAACAAAATCTAACAAAACTCCTTTGTAAAATTAAATTCATTTAGCAAAATTGAGATTGACTTGATACGGATCTCCCGACTCATTGTCTTCAACGCTTCTTTAGTAAAGCTTCCAACTTGTCGTCTTTCTAAGCACCCGAGTTCCCCCATAAAATTAAATCTCTGTAACAAATAACACTTGAGATTGGCGTGATACCGACCTCCTAACCAACTTCAAAATTTCTTGAGCTTCAAAACTTCTTGGCTTTCAAAACATCTCGGGCTCCAAACTTTTGAGCTTCCTATTAGTTGATTTGTCATCTTGAACTTATTCATAATCTCTTTTGCATACATCTCTTAGGACAAACATATTCCTTACTCATCTTCGTCTTTCTTCAGATATCCAAGTGGTTGTTCAACATATACCTCCTTAAATACGCCATTCAGAAATGTCAACTTCACATCCACCTACTTCACACCAACAACTCAGTCATAGCTCAGCAATTTGGCCATCACCAACATGTTATTCTGTTATCAGATCTTCTCATCCATAGTAGCTTGATTCTTCTCTTCAACTACAACTTGGATCTTCTTGCCCACAACAACTCGAATCTTCTCCTCAATTTCAATTCGGATATTCTTTTCAATAACAACTCGATCTTTCTTGACCATAACAACTCAGATCATATTTTGTACACTACAGCTCAGACATTGTTACTTCGAAATCCACTACTTGGACTAAACTCGAATTTCTCTATATACTTGATACTTGCCTTGTTACCGACCACTCCTCTACAAACTCTCTCCTCCATGTTCAACAATCTGAGCATCACACCTTCGCAAATTTTTCCCTCCATACTCGATAATCTGAGTATCACACCTTCACAAACTCTCCCCTCCATGCTCGATAATCCAAGCACCACACTCTTCATGTTTTTCTTTAACTTCATCATTATTTCTACCTCCTTGATTTCCGAGCGAGCTACTACTAGTGGTATAACAACTTATCCTCTTTCCGATCTAACATCTAGTGGTGCAACAACTCGACCTCTTTTGTCTTTCTTTGATTCTCCCTAATTCCATTTGTTTGTTTCATCAACTCGGACAATATCATGATTCTCATCATGAATCAACTCGGTTAAACCACAAAAGTATGTGACCAGATCGGTAATTTCCTTCAACATGTCCTCCACATTTGATCTCAGACTTCTCCTCTCCCGAATGCTTCTCAATTGCAACTTGCATATTTTATTCTTTCTCATCTCTACTTGAGCAATCAGTCTATTGAGTTTGTCCCTCAACTGGAGCACTCGATATTTCATGAAAACAGTGTACCCCTTCTCTATCAATTATATCATACTTAAAAGATTACTCTTTAAATCTGGAACATAAAACACATCTTGGATCGACCTAACTAGGTCATCCTTCTGCAAATAGTCAACTATGTCTCGACCTTTTATCGAGACTCTCAAAACGTCTCCAACCGAAACATAATCACCCTCTTATTTTTCCAATTTTCTAAATAGATGTTTGTCCCCGCACATATGATTACTCACACTCATATCTAAAAACTATACCGACTTGTGATCAGTATCAAACCGAACACCATCGTTATAGTATGCTCCCAAGTGTATCGTCGAATGGTGATCGACCATTATGAGCATTGGTTCTTCCGTTTTCGTCTCCTCTGCAAGATAGGTTTCACCCACTTTTTGGTATTCTCTCACAAAATGCCCCTCATTTCTACAGTTAAAGTATTTTTTCGAGTAACAATCTTTCGTATAGTGACCATACTTGTCACACTTGAAACACTCGACATTTAAGTGGTTCGTTAACTGACCTCCTCTCAGACCACATCATCTTCCATGCCAGTTTTGTTGAGCTCCCTCTTCCTTCTCGTTACCTCGGTCACCGAATCCGCATCGATCTCCTTGGCCATATCGTCCACCTCAAAACCGACCAATACATCCTCTTCTTCTATTATTTTGAGAATAGAGCATCTTCTTCTTGGTCTGGAGCAGTTTTGCACTCGTGTCCTGGTCCTCCTTATCTTTCTCCATTTGGTGTTCATAGGCTTTAAAGTCTGACTAACTCTTTTATTGATAGGTCAGACAAATCCTTTGTTTGTTCTATGTACACACCATTATATTAAAGGATTTTGTTAATGACCTTAAGATTTTTTAAACAATCTGTTATGTGGAAAATACCTCTTCATTCTGATTAAGCTATTTTGACACATTTTCAACACGTAGGACATATTCAGAAACTTTTTTCAACCCTTGCATCTTCATGCTCTTCATCTCGCTTCGTAGTGTCTGACGCCAAATCCGTGTGACTTGGACATCTTTCTTGTGTTCCTTCTTTAATCCATCTCACGTATCAAATGTCGATGTGACTTCTACAATCTTTTCAAAGTCGGAATCTTCTACCGCTCAAAACAAGAAACAAAAGTGCACTGTCTTTCTCAAGTTTCTTCTCTAACTCCTTGAGTTTATTGCTTGTCAATTCTTCTGTGATCTTTGTTTGTTCAAAACCTTCCTCCACCATCCGCCAACTACCTTGGGCTTTGAAGAGAGTCTTCATCTGGGCACTCCATTTATCATAATTGACGTCTTTCGTCAGTCAAAACACAACTACAACAACACTTGTTAGTACAACCATTCACACTCTTTTCTAACACTCAAATCCTATCTCTCACTCTTCTGAAGAATCTTAGTTCCTCTAAAAAAATCCCACCTCTTCTCAAAAGATCCTAGCTCTGATACCAACCAATTTGATAACAAAATTTCTCAGAAACTATAAAATTGTATATTATTGATTTTTTGTCTTGCCTCAACTAAGGAATATGATATTATATTTATTCATAGTCCCAGGATCTTCCCAAAATCAAATAATAACTATCTAAGATATCATTAATATCAAAATGTTCCAATAAACTCCTAACTATCTTCTTGTTATCTTTTTATTACAATAAACTCTAAAACTAATTATTTAATTTTATTCTGTAAACTCCTGTTATGTAAATGAAAGCATAACGTGATTGCTATTTGGCTTGAAAACAATAAAAGATTTGGTGAACTACATGGAGACCGCAAGCTGTGATTGTTATTACAAGAATGATTAAATAGAAGCATTAACAACAAAATGTAGATTAAATTACACGAGCACAATCACCGGACTCACATATTAAAACTGCTGTGTCTTGGCCTATTTGGCTTGCTAACTCTGGTTGAACCTTCATATATTCTCTCCTGACAAATGAAGCAGCTTCAGTTGCAAGGTCAGCCTCCACAAATGCTACGCAACACCCTCTAAACCCAGCACCACTGAAACGCGCTCCTAACACACCGGGAGCCCTCAAAAGGATCTCATACAGTTGAATCAGTGGTTCACAACCTTGGTAGACCATCATTTAACATGATCATCATTAGTCACTCTAACATCAAATTATCTAAGGACAATGTGTAATTATTAGGAATATTACTTTTAAAGTCTACACAATAAAAAACAAAGCGAAACCCATATTATTCAATACATGACATTAGAAATAAGACTTTGGTTTAGTTCAATTCAAAGGAAGCTCTTGTGCTAAAAAAGCTCTAATAACATCCAATTTTTTAGCGTAATGTAGGAAACTAAGTTATAATAGTTAAGACATTTGAATTTATTAAATTCATCTAGAGCTCTCGTCTGGTGGGGACTTTTTGGCACAAGAGTTTTACGAAGTTGTAGAATAGTGAAAGTACAGTGAATGTTGGGTTTTAAAGTTACAATAGAAAAAGGTAGCAAAAGTTAGAATGTTCACATGGATGTGTGATCACACAGGAAAAGTATGTTATAAAACAATTCTATACGAGAAGATATTTTGTGGCACTAGTAAAGGAAAAGGTAACAAAAAATTGGTTAATTTGATCTGGAAACAGGCAAAAAAGTTCATGTTATTGAGAAAAGAGAAAGATAGATGATGCTGTGAAAAAAGGATAAAGGAAGATAAAGAAGGAAATCGGGGGAAATTGTTTGGAGGAATCGCATGATGAACACTGTTCCTCTTAGAATTTTGTTTTTAACCGAACGAAGTGATGCTAAAGCTATACAATTCAAGTAACTGATCTCACCTCGTAACAAAATGCATTTTTTTTTTGGTTATTGTTGTAAATCCCTAAATTAGTTTTCGAGATTCAATAATTTCCACTAGTCCCTAATATTTAGAAACTCTCCCTTAGCCCTTGACTTAGCAAAAAGTCGCTCATTTTAGTCCCTTTCTACTTTGTTATTTTTAATATTATCATTTTGTAAACACAAAGAAGAGTGATTATTATTATCATTTGCAAATCAGGAGGGGCTTTAAAGAGTTACTAAAATCTCAATGATTACAATGTTTTTCCAAATCTTATAAGGGATGACAATATTAGGAGTCACACATTAAACAGATTAAATTATTTGATGTGGTGGAAACTCTTTCACATGATAAACTTAGTCTTAAATCCTAACAAATGAGCAGTCATGTTAATGCACATTTTGTTGTTCTTCAAAGCTAATACACATCATGAACTATATGATTGTCATCTAAGCCCACCCTAGATCCATGACTATTTTACGTATCAATTTTTATCCCCCAACTACCACCACATTACATTAAATTTTTTTATTGATTTAAATCAAAGCTGGTGAGAAATTATTCGCGATGTGTTTGATGAAACTATTAGACTCTCATATAATTAAGCTAAGCTACATTTCGGTCTTTTCTTTGTCAATAAAATCCAGGTAAATGTTGGGTCTTTCGAGGGGATTTAATAGGGAGAAACAATATTATTGAGACATGAGTCCAACCAATATAAGGATTGACACTACTCTCAACTCAAAATTTTATGACATTGTGTTATAGGTCTTTCTTCCTTATATGTTGCTAAACTTTCTTATTCTTACTCAATGTACGACTTAGACTCATAGTTGGATCTCCCATCAATTTCTTCCTCAAGTGTGAATCCATCCACATTAGTACATCCCCTCGAGCTCACTAGTTGTCCTTCCATGCACCGTTGTTTATCATAACGGGATATGTTAAACTGACTCACTATCAAGAAGACTTTCGATATAAGAACTACTCTTAAATTGTTGGTCACCACAAAACAATCGACTCTGATACCACTGTTGTGTCGTTCGAGGGAAAATTTACATGGGAGAAACAACACCATTGAGACATGAGCCAAAACTCACATAAGATATTAACACCACTATCAACCCAAAGCCTTAATTAAAGTTTTGAGTTGAGAGTAGTATTAATACCTTATGTGATTTAGACTCATGTCTCATTGGTGTTGTCTTTCTCCAATAAATCCCCCTCAAATACCCAACAATATGCTACAAATGATTGGACACCAAAAACCCGACTCTAATATTTGGGGTAAGATAAAATTGATTTTGGAGAACTATTAGAATAGAAAATAAATAGTTCATCGCAGAGAATTTGGATTGAGTAGTGAACATTCCATCATGTACGCAGGGCTTGGAAGAAAGCTTTTGGAAAGCAATAAGAGCATATCCAACTTAGAAGAGTTCTTATGAATCAAATACATTATTTTAATGCGAACTCATTGAAAGAATTGCTTAAAACATGTCAGAGTTACTTAATTCTGACTTATTTTATTCTAAAAATAATATATTTTATTCTACAAATTTTTATAAGCAACTTTTACCGAAGATATTCTAAAGAAAAAGTTTACATCAAAATATAGACCATCAGTAAGAAAGACAGAACAGATTAGGGATATATACTTAAAGAATATTGGAAACAACACTATTTTTGTGTAAAATGTTATTATACCGGTTTCCAGGCTCAAATGTTAATTTTTGCATAGTTATTTAGGGCTATATACTTAAAGAATATTGGAATTAGTTGAAAAAAGGCATAAGTATGTTTTTCCATTTGATTTTGGATTCCTGTAATTCATATCACTTTCATATTCGAAGAGAAAGAAGATCAAATTTCAAAACATTCCAAAAATGAATTTGGGGATTTAGGTTATACCACACTCATAATTTTGAATGGAACTCCGACCAGAAGCTGTAATAAGCAGTCCAAAATCTTTTAACTTGCCTAATGCCCAAGCCTCGACTCCTGTTGTTAAAAAATTAATAAATTACAATATAGCATCAAAGGTAAATTGAGTACGGCATTGACCCTCAAGATGAAATTTATCAAGCAATTCAACTCATTATACCTTTCATAACACGCATATTCTCTGAGAAATAATGCTCTGCTCTTTTAGCTAGATCGGGTTCTAATTTTTGCTGGACAAAGAAAATGTAAGACTGCTATGTTATGCTAAAATCATAGCTCGGATTCAAATTATACAACATATAAAAGAAGCATTATACATCAGTTAATAAGCTGGAACAAGTAAACAGGTTAAATAACAAGCATAGAAGAAAATCTGTAATACTTCCTAAGAGATGTCAATATAACATGCATAAATTTATCTACATTTTGAACATTCAAAATGCCAAATCTTGGAAGCATGAGATGTGTAAGAGAATACTTTATCTTCTTTTATTTTTATAACTGATCCTTTCCTACTGAGCACTTATGATACAGATAGGATTGGAAGTCAGTGTCTCGACCAACTCTTTTTGTCAATCATTAATATAAGTTCAGTTTCTGTGAATTCAAATGGTATCGAGAGCTCCCTGATCAGTATCCATGACTTCCGACAATAACCAACCTCCTCCTCCTCCACTTCCCATGCATGAAGCACCATTTTTTTCAAAAGCTTGTCATTTAGAATTTTTCTACAATGTGACAGCATATCAAACCAATAATCAAGGCTCATCGTCTCCATCATTATCTTGTTGCATTGAAATTTCATTCGAGGTTCTTGACAGAACAAGATCCGTGATGCGAATCAAATGATTCCAGAGTACAAGTCTATGCCTCAAGCAACTCTTCACATTTTTTGCAATCATTAATAGAATTTTAGTTTCGGTAAATTCAATAAGACCCAATACAATTTGGTTGTACTGTGAAGGAGCTCCAATAGAGTGATTGGTGAATCTTACATATCCAATCAACGCATTTTTTAACAATCCAACGACAACTAAGTAAGACAGTAATAAATTCTATCAAGCCAATTTTATTTCAGAAAGCCATATGTAATCTTTATTAGCCCTTAAAATATATTATTCTCAATCTAAACAAAACCTAATTGTATGGAACTACAGGAGTTTAGAAATTAATATGCCAGATGGTTTGCTCGCTGAGGTGTTCAAAATTCCAGAATACATTTTTTCAATGAAAGTAATGTGTGCCCATTCAAGTTGTTTATATGTTTGTTTATCTCAATTTCCAACATCAGTAGGTTTTTCAGAATTTCAGTTTCCTTGCATAAAATTACACGATTATTGAGTTTTTACATAATAGTGCACAAAAATAAAATATTTAAGTTCATTTATTACTTTTCTACAGTTACACAATTCTCAAAATCATATTCCTAGGATAAAGAAACCTGTTTATTTAGCTATATGCATTTCATTTTTTTGTCAAACACTTGTACCACCACCCAAAATATAAAATTGTGCATTATATCACAATACGAGTGAACCAGGATATGTAAAAAGGTGTATACTTATGGATTTAACATGCCAATGCTTTATACCTTGTGAACCTCGAAAACTTCTGGATCAACTGCACAGTGCAAAAGAAAAAATAAAGTAACTTAGATAAGCTAGATATTTGATAAAAGATATAACTACGTTCACATGTGAGAAGGCAAGATACTGACCATTCGATAGGATGGGCTCTGTTTTGTAATCTCCAGATGCTCTGCAGAATGAATAAAAAAATAATATAAACTTCCTGGGACATGATTATCTCGCCAAATTTATATACCTCAATTTGGTTTCTATTGGACCAAAAACCTTAATCATAGGAAACTGTATGGACCTAAACCCAAATGAGTATAAACTACACGGACAAAATTTAAAACTCTAGTTTGACTTGCATGAAAACAAAAATGATGTTCAGACTTAACTCAATTATTTAAATGATCCAAATTTGAATTTCAGGTGTAACTTGTTTTAAAAATATTAAACTCGGCTTGTTTAGCTTGTTTTATAATTATTTTCCTTCTCTTTATCAAATATCTTCTGGAAATATGAATCACAATAAGAGGTAATTTTCTTATCTTGCTAATGTCTTATTTATTAGTTCTTATAGCAATCGACTTTTCTATCATTTCATCTTTTAATAAACCAAGAAAAAGTGATCCGGCACATTGGGTAAGGTGAACATATGCAGCCTTGCCACACAAACAACTGTTCTAGGATTTGAACCCAATGAATTTCAGGTCACAAGGCAACAACTAATTGTGCCAAGGCTCTCCCTCATCTTATAATAAACTAAGCTGATGCAAATTTTATTACATCCACCAATTCAGTGTAAGGTATTTCCGAGAGGTACTAACAATAGGATAATCTTAATAATGGGACATGAGTCACCCATATAAGAAAATATAGCATCATCTTCAACCCAAAACCTTAAGACATTAAGTAATAGGTCTTTCTCACTTATAAGTTACTCAACTTTCCCATTTCTACCAATGTGAGACTTCAAACTCATACTTGAATTCCCAATAAACTATTGACACCCTTTAATAAGTTTAAAGCTGACATTTAGCAACAGCTCATGAGACACTAAAATTTAGAAATGTCTCAAATATTTTGTGATGCATTATAAAGTAAAGACAATTTCTTATTTGTTAAAAAAATTGAATGAAAACAACAATAAATTTAAGAGAAGAAAAAAGAAAAACTTACTCAAGAAGAATTTGTGCAGCCTCTCGACATTCTGCAACTCGCTTGTTATATCCAGGGTTATTCGTCAAAGCTTGCTTCAGACCCGAAAGTGCCAACAATATTTTGGTTGCCTTCGGTTGCTCAGTCTCTTTGTATTCTAGAACCTTTGGGTAAACAAGCTTATAATCTTTGGTCTGCATGTTGCCAAACAACACATGAAATAGAGGAATGACAATGATAACAGTGACAACAATGTTATTTACAAGTAAAATGCATTTCTTTACAAAACACTTTACAGAGAACTTCAAGAAATGAGAGAATTAAGAATACCCACTAGAAACATTAATCCAATCCTATCTGTAGTAATGAATTTAAATCAAGTGATCCAACTAATGAAGACATGCATACAAGAAATAACAGTATGAAAAGAGTCAAGCCCTGCAGCAGGCTTTTGGTGCAAAGCATCCACCAACTTTGTCAATGACTGATCTCTACCAGAAAAACCTAGCTAATCCCCTTTGGTGGAGTATCTCCTTCCAACCATGCTTTTTCCATTTCCAGAAAAACCTAGCTAATCAACCGAAGACCTTGAATTAAGAATCTAAGTTTAGTTTCACTCAGAACGACATGTTAGTTGCGAAGAATATGCTGTTGAAATTAAAAGGAATCTAGGTAGGGAACAGAGGAAAAGAGAAAATAGAGATTCTGAATGATATTTCAACTGTGAAAGGGAAGACAATTTGTAGTGCCAATTTATAGTCCTCATGTCGTATAGGAAAAAAAATAGGAAATAAGAAAAGATAATCATAAATACAAGAAATAGGGAAGAAACTTAATCGCAAATATTGGTGTTAATTAATAATTATGCTAAACATTTAATTGTATTAATTACACTAACATATCCCCCTAACTTAAGTACACAGGCTAAAATTTGGCTGATGGTAGATAGGGCAAACAACATTTGGTATCAGTGACAAGGGACCACTTGCATTTGGAATTACGAGTTAGAATTAGACTACTTCTAGGATCAACCCAACCTAAGGAGTGACAGGTTGGAATATACGTGAAAGGACAGGTTAAATGGATCCTATGTGTGAAATCATAGGTTGAAACAGAACCAACATGTCGAGATACCAACTAAAAACAAAGCCAAATGGTATAAAGAGAGCTAGAACAGAACCAGTCTGCAGAAAAACAAACTGAGAACTAAATCTATCAGCAATAAAAAACTGAATGAAATTGAGCCAATCTGCAAAAAGAAGCTGGAATATGGTGAGGATGTGGAACAAAACAAAAGCTTGAGACTATTCTCAAGGTATGGGTTTGATGATGGTCAAGTTCCATGAACAAAATAAAGAGGAGAAACTATTCTCAAGGAGGATTCCATATTTCTCATAATTTTAACTTATTGGAACTAAAGGAGGAAAGGAGGAATATAGCATGAATTTCAAGTCTATCATACTAATTAGTTGTTTTGATTACACTAATAACATGAGTATAAGATAGATTTGAAGGAAGTCCATGGGTGACTAATACTATATAGTCCATGAATAGGAAATTACACAGTATATTTTCATTTTATTTTTATTTACTTTTCCAGAACAACTAAATAATGATAGGTTAAATACCATAGAAAAAGTTTTATGCTAAACAACTGTGAAACAAAATCAACAAAACGACCAGGTATTTACATTATAAAAGATATCCAACTCATCCTTATCCAAAGATGATGCATTGCAAACCAAAACATTTTTCAATTTTCATACATCTGAACTAAGCAAGTATCAAAAATCAATGTCAACATGAGACTGATCTAGCAATTGATACAAGTATGTGGAACAAGCATTCCTTATATTTGCAAGATGACAACTTATGATATAAGTTAGTGCCTATTAAGCGTAACTGTTTTTTGTTGATAAATTCAATTGTCCCAGCATGTAGCAAGTCCCCTACTTTCCCTTTAAATAAATGCTTTAGGATCAAGGAAGATGTTTTTCAAACACATATGTTCCTTCATTATCACTCTGCATAAAGGTGAAAAATATGCATAAACATACATTCAGACACGATAAGAAGCTTCAGTGACAAGGATACATGATCAACATGACAGATACCAAATCTGATTCTGTAACAGATGGATATGCTTCAAAATATCAAAATACATTCAGAACTTGCAACTACAACACATTAATCCAGTTATTACCTTGCAATTCATGCACATCAAGCAACCATGGCTTGAAAGTAATATAGCTGATTGGTCCATTATGCCATTTTTCAGACCCAAATATTCATTCTCAATCAACCTATAATGAGAAAAGTAACATTTAAGAGGATTGATCTAATACAACCATACAATTATGAAATGACTCGGTAGCATATCTATAATCACAATGATTAAATGGATGAGAATCTAATCCTTTTAAACTTCGGTGGAAACTTTTCAATATGTGAGCATTTTAGAATCACTTACTTTTCCAATATATGAGCAACCAGCTTGCAAAGAGGTGTAACAAGAGTATAAGAAACAGAGATTTAAAGAAACATACTGCCTTTTTCTCTAACAAAAGTCAATAAATATCAGCCTAGTAGCCTAGTTAAAGTTGAGAGGTGTTGAGGGTTTTATCAAGTGGTTCTGCTAATGAGTTCACTAAGGAGATTTTAGTAGACCTAATAAAATGCTTTCAATTAATGTGATGCTATTGACTACACTGATTTGTACATTTTCATATGCTTCAGAAAGAATGTACTGTGACTTTCTCCAAGGACTTGGATAGACTTACCGATCATATTCAATATTTTCTGTGGGAGATATTACTAAATTATTTGCATATTCAAAAGCCATGAGGTAAGCCACTCCAACCTGCCAAACAATGAAAGCGAAATCCCCACAGAATATCAGAAGACATGAGCAGTTGCCAACAGGGATCTATCCTGGTGTCTTCACAAGAAACCAAAATAACAGCTTATTAAAAAACAACCAAAATGAGCACAGAATCCAAATACCAGCTATTAACATTATTTGGAGAGTGGAATAATATATTGAAATCTGGTTGTAATTAAAGTATTATTAGTACTTCCAGGATTATAAAAAAAAAATATTTTAATAATGTTAGTGTCAAATAAATAAATAATACTAATCCTTTTTTCAATTATCATTTATTTTGTTACTATTAAAGTGCACCTGATGCACAATGGAAAGCAGATAACATTGATAGGGAGAAATCAGTAACTTACTGCAGCTGAAGAGCTTAAGCCTGAACAATCTAAACCTTCAGAACCACATATGTATCCTGTGATACCCTGTATGCATTGTAATAAAGATGGGTGGGAATAGATTTTGAAATAAGGAAATAAAAATTGCATGCAGTGATCTTCATTGCAAAAGAACCAGAAATACTACACAATAAGTTTCTCATTTTCTGGCCATGAGGCAGGAGAGAATATAGTTACAGGTGCACTTGCACCCATTTAAAACCTGAGAAACATCCTAAACGATTCAGCTGATAGAGGTAATTTCTATTTTACTAATAAATCAAATGTTATCACTCATCATCAAAAACCTTACTTGAAGAACATTAAAAAAAAAAGGTTTTATTTACAAACCATAAGGCTATTTTCAAGCAACTAAATGTGGAGGATTTTATTAGAAAAGAAAATAACTATTACATCAGAAATACAAAGTGTACGTAAGATTTTTTTCAATAATTTCACATTTAGTTGCTAGGAATGATGTTAACAAAACCAAAACAAAAAGTTAAAATAATCTAACAGGACACCAGACATAGGATATAAAGAGCCCCAACTTTCTGAACATGACAACCTTGTGCAATGCTTAAAATCTGAAAGCATCTTGAAAAAGCAGCCAACTAAAATTTCACAAAATAGTATTGCTTCCGAGATATGAAAAAGAATAAGCAACCTACAAACATAAAACATCTTTATGCTGATTTACTATTCTTTTACCTGCTATAGGCTGATTTACATCTCATGTTGCCATGTTTTATATAAAAAATCTTTTACCCCACCTAGTCAATGTTCAGGATAACAAATTTTCTCCAAATTCTTCTAGTATACTTATGCTGAGAATTATTACTGCTGTTTCTTAGTGCATTGTTTATACATCAAATGGTGAAAACAATTTGAGCTTAATTTCAATAGATCGATTGATAGATAACAATTGTAATTTCAACATCTTTTGTGTTAGTTGTTTTGTGCAGGATCAGGTGTTGGGAAATGTGATCACAAAATACCCTAAAGGGCTACTCCCTCTTCAATTTTATCTACCAAGCCTTTTGTCTTTTTCTTGAAATGGTGTTCTAATAAGTTTAAGGATTAGCATAGAACATTGAGTCATTCAAATTTAACTCGTCTCATTATTGAAAAATAATTTTTTGAATAATAAATAATTGATTGTAAATACAAGCATAAAGAATTTTTTAAATTATAAGCAGAGAAAAAAAAAACTATGAAAAAACAGCTTCAGTCTGACTCTGATTCAATAATTGATTTTAGTGTTTCACAAAAAACCTTACAGGGAAGTTTATGATAAGTATTGATACAAAATCAAAATGGGTGGATCCATGTCCCCCAAATGTACTGAAGATCGAGCTTAGGGGTAATTATGCCTTTTAGTCAACAAATTTGAAGCCCTAAGGAAGCTACACTGCAGAGCTTAAGTATTCAAGTTAAAAATTGTCCTGTTCCATCTTATTATTAAATTCACAGGTTAAAATATACTATCATATAAAGTTGGCATCCATCTCATAGCACAAAGCATAGACAAGTGATGAACAGAAAGGTGAACCTCTGGTATTATATCTGACCTTAGAAAGATTGTTTCCTCTACTTTGTAGTGCATATACTGCTCCTCTAGCATAACGCCCCCATTTACATTGTTCCTGTAGCTCAGAAGAATCTTTGTCCAAACTCTTATCTTTTGGCAGCTGAATCTCATCAACTCTATCAAATATTAATCAGTTTATATAACTCAAAAATTGGCAATTAGATAATGTTCTAGATAACAAAATTATGCAATAAAAACAAGAATAGCACAATATCAGAATGACAGTAGAAATGTATGTAATGGATCAATCAACACAGGCCCTAAATCTAGAAGATTTGGGTGTGATTCTGATGCTAGAGTTTTGACCTCCACCAGGCTGGCTATCACCTCCCCTGCCAGTTGCTCACACCTCCTTTGTAACCAAAAGAAGAAATAAAGAATGGCCGTTGAAATCATATACCAATTACACCTAAGAGGCCCATCATTCGACCATATATGAAATGATACTGAAGCTTTACATCATTTGTTAATTAATAAGAGTAAGCACTTACATTTCTTCATCAATCATTATGAAGCATGTCTTGTAATCATAATAACTTCATGAGAGGTTAGCACATATCTAATTTAATGCATTTAGCGTACATTCACCCAGGATAATTTTATAAGAAATGGAGAAGAACTTATAAAATAAGTGAATAAACAGCAAGCTTTATAATCACTGACCACAGACCTGAACTTAACTTCTCCCTGAAACTGTCCAGAACGAATTGCAACCTAAAATAAAAGTCCCAGGGATCATTTATCAAACAAATGAAAGCATCATGAATAACAAGTCCGTGAGCATAGGGCACATATCAAGTGAAAGCATCATACAGGATAATTTTGAATTTACAACCATACATATGCTAAGCTGGTTCTTATTGAACACATGAAATTTCCAGATGCTTTCTCATGTATTTTTAAGATTATAGATTGAGAACAATATCAAATTGTACCTGGTTATTACCAGAAGGAGCGAACCCCAAAAGTATTCCCTTATTGATTGTCATAGCTGAAACGGTTCCACCCTGCAAACACCAAAGGAAATTGCAAGAGACCTCACTCAAATTTAAATGCAATTTTTGCGAATATTGTGTGGCAACTGAACACGTGAGATTTAACCGCCCAGCACCACTGTTCTAGTACTCACTGCTCAATATCAATCACTGAGTGTCTTTTGCAACAACATAGCAGAAACAATTAAATACCTGATGATCAATGTGCGCCCCCAAAGGACAAATTCGATAGGGAGATACCACAACTCGAACCTCCTCCTTATTCACATTCGCCGTTTTGGAAACTCTCTCTCTGATTTCATTTAGCTGCAGATTACATTTAGATCAGTGAAAAAAGAATATTGAATGTATTGGAAAGAGAAATAGTTGAATGAAAGGTAATTCTTCCCCCATTCCCATTTTGCAGGTCCACTTCATATTTTTCAGTTATTTTTCACTTCCATTGTAACATTCCATTCGTCAATTTCCCAAATGACTCAAAAATCTCAACAACGACAAATATCAGCAAAGTCACATATAAATTAAGTTGCTAGCACACGAGAGTCACCCTGAACACTATCGTAGGTTGAGCTGAGGCAATATGGAGAAGATTCACCAGAAGTTCCTTGCTCTTGGTAAATCAATTTTACTATTAGAATACAATGCAAAACCGATCGAAATACTCTTGACTTCTAGAGCAATGCAAAAATTATGTGCTAACGATCTGTAAGGAACTAAGTAATATTGGGGAAAAAAGAGACAGATAATAATTTCAAACATTAAATGATCTCCATTGCGAGTATTTCTCGATTTTAAAAAATAAATAAAAACAATTAACGTTTCATTGATTGATTTATCAACTTCCAGCTCACAACGCCAATTGCAAACTAAACGACGCAACAACAATAAGCAGAGTTCGATGAAAAAACAGGTTCAGAGTGTAGAACGCAGCACCGCGAACAAAATAGAAACCGCGTAGGAAGAAAATTAAGGTACGCAAAAATGGTGAAGAATTTTGACGATTAGATCAGGATAATACATAAACACGAAACAAATACCTCGGTATCAGAAGGCCAACAGTGCGCAGCCATCATCGCAACTGCGAGGGAAGATTCAGAAACGCGGAGGAGATTTAGAAAACGAAGAGAAGAGAAGCCCATGCACAGTTTGAGGTGCACTTTGCTCCATCTGTAATATATAATATATAGAAAATGAGCATAAAAAGTTGGTGAAGATGAAATACCGATCAATAATGACCCAGCGTAAAATGCATTTATTTGTTCTATCTCATGGCCCGTGCTAAATATGACACTATGTGATGATAGAACGAACAAACCTCCACCAATGGAGGACAAATTACCAGTGGGGTAGGTAACAAATCTATAGATATAAATAATTCTTCCATAAACATTTAAAAGAAAAAATAAAATAAATGTATAAGTTAAAATTAAATTACAATACTTAAAAATAACTATGATATTAGAGATATGATATTAAAGAATTTTTACAAACTTACATCGTGACATTCACCATTCTTGTTTTATTTATAAAAAAAAAACATTTATTTGTTTTACTTTTAATATTCCTAAAATTTGAGAAATATTAACGTTACTTATAACATAAGTTGGAGAATGTCCTGTATTATATTTGTAATAACAATATAGTTAGGTTCAATTCTTATTTATTAGTTATTGTATATTTTAAAATTTTTGTTTGTTACAATTAAAACAAGTAACATGAGTTCCACTTCTAAGTAACACGAGATTTACCGAAATATAAATATTTAAATGAGGACTAAAAAATATATATAAATAAAATAAGATTTTATTTTGGATCCTGATATTCTGTTTAAGAACAAAAATATCCTAACATTATATCTGTTAAGATAATATTATTAGGATTAATTCTCATATTTTAAATATTGTTTTAATTAAAGCTCTCGTTCATCCCGATTTTATCTTTAAAAAACATTTTGATGATTAAGAGATGAAGATATATATAAACTATTCCTAAACAATATAGAATTCAAGAATATATCCAAACGTAAATTCTATAATTAAAATCTAAGAAGTAATTACTAGTAAAAAAAGATATTAGACTATGATATTCCACTTCCGCATATTTTATCTTAAAAAGAAATTATCAATATTTATTTTATTTACAATATGAAATAAATTGGTATAATGAATATAAACAAAAAATAAAATAAAATATCAAAATAGACGTGAAAAAATAGATAAAAAGATAAAGTAATAAAAATAAAGATAATATAATAATTTTTATTATTTTTAAATTTTTATCTTTCTCTTTATCAAATAAATTATTTAACGGTTTTTTTTTCCTTGTGGGACGTTGTCCTTTTCTTCGTGGCTCACCCAAAAAACTAGTCCTCATTTTATCTCCCAGAACTATAATAGACAGTTTGTAGGATTCGCAATGTGGTCCGGTCACGGGTTCCCCACCCACGTAGGAATGCCGACATGCTCGCAGGGATGGATTTGTCCGTTTCATCGTCGGTTGATATCGTAAAAATTAAGTTATTATTTTAGTTTTTATTAATTTTTTTTATTTTTCACTCTCGATCAGTTTTTAACTTATCTTTAATTATATTATTTTAAAAAAAATTATTTTTATAATAAATTAATATTAAGATTTTTTATTATACATAAATAATTATTTATTATTATATTTTTTTAAAATTATTATTAATAATTAAATATATTTTAAACTTATTATATTTATAATAAAATATATATGTAAAAATATATTTAATTATTTTTTAATTATAAAATATTTATATCATTATTATTATATATTATAATACTATATTTAATTTGTTAATTATATATAAGTTAATTATTTTTTAAATTATTATTTTAAAATATTAATTTATAAAAAAATAAAACATTAATTTTAATTTAATTAATATAACGTAATAAATTTTAACTATATTTTTTAATCATTTAAAATATAATTATTTTATTAAAATAAAATTTGATATAGAATAAATAAAAATAATAAAATACAGAAAATATCACATAATAAAAATTTATAAAGATAAATTATAAATAAAATAATATTATGTATTATTAAATTGATGTAAAATTGTTATTAGTAAATTTATAAATATATTAAAAGAATGATTTGAGGAAAATATTGAAATTAAAAAGATAAAAATTGATATTAATGATAAAAAATCGAGATAGAGGTATTAGAGATAGAAATGGTAAAAAAATCAATAATGAAGTGGTAGAGATTGAAAGGATAAAAATTCGAGATAAAAAAATATTAAGACGATAGAAATCAAAAGGATAAAAATTGATATCGAAATTATGATAGTTGATCGTGATTTGTGATTGAAAATCAAAGATATAAGTAATCGAGAAGTAAATTGAGAGATAGGTAAGAAATTAAAATAAAAGAAAACAAGTGTTTGAAATGTATAATTCGAAGAATAAGATAATTAACTTCATAGTAATCAAAAGAACCATCGATACAAAAACAAGGTGGTCAGGTGTATTAAATAATAAAGAATCGAAGGATTATCATAATTAAATAAGGAATCGAGAAACATACTAACAAAAAACAAAACATTTTTTTTCAAATGTATACAAAACTTATCAAAATCTATGGAGTTAGAGAAATGAGAAAGATAAACTATCAATAAAGAAATTATGTAATCGATATGCACAAAGTTAAAATCAGAAAATTAGTTTCACACTATAAGAAAATAATTAATTATCGACTGATAGTTACCGATGGATATGTAGTTTTCAGAAAATAAGTTATTACTAACAAAAATTACCGAGTGATTACCGACGGATATATTCGTTGGTAAATTAACAATTAGTTTCTTTACGTATATATCCGGTCGGTAGATTAAATATATCGGTCGGTAAATTAATAATTAGTTACCGACGGATAAAATATATAAATATATTTGTATTTATTTATTTATACGGATATACTTTTACTTGTATATAAATATAATTTATTTATAAGTTATTATAAAAAAATTACGAGTAGTTTAATAGTTGGAGTATCGACCTCTAATTTTAAGGTATTGAGTTTGAATCCTATAGTTATCTTAAATTGATAACAATGGGGTCTCTAGATAAATAATAATTCAAAATGTAATAAATAATAAAAATATGATATAAATATAAATAAATAATTATCGACGGATATATCCGTCGACATATCTATTTACCGATCGAATTTTATCCATCAAAAAATCTAATTTTTCTTGTAGTGTTAAGGAATCAATTCAAACAAACGTAGTTTTAGGAGTTATAATATATTCTCTTAATAAAAACTTAAAATATTGTTTTTTTGGACCGTTTCAATAAAATTGTTTAAGAAAAGATGATGAATACACGTTGTGGATTTCAATAAAGTCTTGTTACTTTTGGTCACCATTTTTCATTCAGTTATTTTATCAAATTTTGTTTTATCTGCAGTAACTAGTTATATTCATTTTTTTCTACAATTTACTTCATTACATGATTACTTTGCACTTTATTTTAAATGTTGAAACTTATATTAAAAATTAAATTGATATATGAAATATCTTTGGAAAAAAGTTGATATCGTATTAATTATTTAGTGATTAGTGTTTGTAATCAATAACTTAGTGATTATGATAAAAGTATAGTTGGGACAAATTTATAAATTGAAAATTATTTACTTGTTAGTCTAAACAAAAAGAACACATATGATAATAAACCGGTTCATTTTGAAACATTAATTTATCTGAAAAAAAATGACATGTTTAAAGAGTGAAATTGAACAAATTTACACAAGAAATAATAATATTTTAAAAAAATAAAGAAAAAATAAACTTTGTGTTTAACAAATAATTTGAAAAATTAGAAATACGAGGGATTAAGAAAATGAAAATATGGAAAAGATGAGAGAAAAAAATAATATAATAAAATAATTAAAAAATACAAAAGAGTAAAAAAGTGGATAGAAAAAAAAGTAAAAAATGTAAAATATAAAAAGAATTATCTTGTATATAATATAAAAGAAAAAAAAACTTTTGAAAAAGTTTATTTTAATATTAAGTTTAAATATAAAGTCAAAATTAAATAAGGAGTTGAAGTTATTATTATATTACTCCTTATTGTTTATTATGTTGACTTTTTAAAGTTATTTAATCTTTTCTCATCAATCTCAAAACAAAGATAAATTTATCCCATAATTATATATATATCGACCAATTTTTTTAGAATTTAGAGATTATTTTTAAAAAAATACAATATATAATATTAGTAAGTCACTTTATAAAAATTAAGTATTAGTTATAAAATATTTTAGAAATTATATTTTTTTGAGAAAAAGATTTTTTAAAGATAAAAGTATTTAAAAAAATGAATTTAATAGTTTCAAATTATATTAAAAGATTTATTAATTATTAAAACAATTATAATAAATAAGATTCTTTTTTCTTGTGTAATAAGTGTGAGAGGGGAGAAAAAAAACATTGAATACATACATATATATATATATATATATATATATATATATATATATATATATTAAAAGAAATTAGTAATACATAAACAAGTATTCATCAGATGAAAATATTTTTTTTACGAAGGATTAAAAAGTTTAAAATATCTTGAATTAAAGTTAAACAAATCATCAAAATTATAAATATTTAAAATGTCAATGTTTAGTTAATTTCTTCATTAATAACATTAAATTTAATAATAATAATAATAATAATAATAATAAACAAAAAAATACTATTCATGTTTATTAATTTTGTCTTGTTATTTCTTATTTTTTATAATTTTATCTCATAATTAATTTTTCATTTTAATATAATATCATATTTTTTTGAAAAATAAAAAAACAAACTAATATATTTCTTTCAGTTAATATCTTAATTTATTTAATAAAATATTGTTGGCGTAATTATACTAAGTATTGGTTTTAGTTTGTGTTCTGCTCGTATTTGTTTATACATGTCATCATTTACCTGTGTCATTCATAAATACATGTTATAACAATAAAAATATAAGATAAAATAAGTTATTAACAAATAATATAACAAAATAAAAAATATATGATAAAAATAAGTTATTAAAAAAATATCACTATTGTTGTTTTCTTTTCTTACTTAATTTTTTTTCAAGTGTTTTTATTCATCTTC